GGGCACTCCGGAAATCAGTGTCCGGCCTTGTCTTTCTTTTAGTAGTGGAAACCTACAGAACGATAACTCGCCGAAATCGCATTAGATCGGCCCAAGGAGCTAGCAAACAACAAAGAATACAACACAGCAACAGGGTAAGTGGATTTTATTCACAAAATATAAGAATAATTGGCTTTTCAAGCAAAGCCGTTGCATTCCCATACAAACCTTTATAAATTCAAACTGTTGTAACACAACACCTCCATATGCTGCAAGGCGAGAGTCATGTTTCGCGTGGTCAAATTCGGTCGTTATGTAACAGTACATGCCATATGTCACGTTAGCCTGAACGTTTGCATAAAAAGGAAAAAAAAAGGATAACATTGAGAGCTTGGGCCGCCTGTGTGAAAAATAAGCCTCAAGATGTTCATAAAATTTTCTTAAAATTTGTTTTAGAAATACTGTATATTATACATTATTAGAGGTTTAATTAACCCATTGACGCCTGTGCCAGCGGTAACCGGCCATGACAAATGTTGGCCTTGTGTTCCAGTTCTGACGTCATCACCTTTACTTTGACCAAAATTGGCATCACTAAATACTCAAGTTCCGCAGAAGGAAAGATCTTTCCAATGATACCCAGATCAGAGTGATCGGGTCAATGGAGCCTGAAATATGCACAAAAATGTTCTGAAATTTGAGCGAAAAATTTGGAGCAAAATTTCCTTTGGGTACATTTGGCTACTCCATGGTAAGAATTGCCCGTGTTGATGATGCTTTCTCAGGAATTTTTCAAGCAGAAGCAAGCCCAGTACAAGTTCAATAACTGCAGCAAAAAGATAAGACTAGTGAGACAATCTCAGATAGTGCAGAGTGTAATGTATGGCTGTGATGCAGTACTCATAACACAGTTCCTATATAACCCCTAGCATTCACTCCTGGTTTGTATTGACCTTCCTAGTCAGCTAGGGATTTTGATGAGACATAATCTTAGCAGTGTGGTTTCATGTGTGTATTTTCATTCACAGTCCAAGAATAACTAACAATTAATTACCCTTTGTCAAGACAGCTCTTGAATTTTACTGTGGTGTTTTACCCAATTTTTGCCCATTTTAAGGAGCAAGCGTGACAATGTTACTTTTCATGCCAACGTTTGTAACTTCATACTTTTGTTTTCCTCGCAAAGGAATGTAACA